TGGGACTTTAAGGCGAACCCACACCCCTCCCCACCCGAAACCCGGATCGAGCCGGCCAGCAGTTCCGGACCCCAGGCGGACTGAGGCTGCAGGCCCGACCCTACCGCAACTCCACGTATCCCCACCATCCTTCCTCCTTGGACTCCAGGTTGGTTGCCTGGGACTTTAAGGCGAACCCACACCCCTCCCCACCCGAAACCCGGATCGAGCCGGCCAGCAGTTCCGGACCCCAGGCGGACTGAGGCTGCAGGCCCGACCCTACCGCAACTCCACGTATCCCCACCATCCTTCCTCCTTGGACTCCAGGTTGGTTGCCTGGGACTTTAAGGCGAACCCACACCCCTCCCCACCCGAAACCCGGATCGAGCCGGCCAGCAGTTCCGGACCCCAGGCGGACTGAGGCTGCAGGCCCGACCCTACCGCAACTCCACGTATCCCCACCATCCTTCCTCCTTGGACTCCAGGTTGGTTGCCTGGGACTTTAAGGCGAACCCACACCCCTCCCCACCCGAAACCCGGATCGAGCCGGCCAGCAGTTCCGGACCCCAGGCGGACTGAGGCTGCAGGCCCGACCCTACCGCAACTCCACGTATCCCCACCATCCTTCCTCCTTGGACTCCAGGTTGGTTGCCTGGGACTTTAAGGCGAACCCACACCCCTCCCCACCCGAAACCCGGATCGAGCCGGCCAGCAGTTCCGGACCCCAGGCGGACTGAGGCTGCAGGCCCGACCCTACCGCAACTCCACGTATCCCCACCATCCTTCCTCCTTGGACTCCAGGTTGGTTGCCTGGGACTTTAAGGCGAACCCACACCCCTCCCCACCCGAAACCCGGATCGAGCCGGCCAGCAGTTCCGGACCCCAGGCGGACTGAGGCTGCAGGCCCGACCCTACCGCAACTCCACGTATCCCCACCATCCTTCCTCCTTGGACTCCAGGTTGGTTGCCTGGGACTTTAAGGCGAACCCACACCCCTCCCCACCCGAAACCCGGATCGAGCCGGCCAGCAGTTCCGGACCCCAGGCGGACTGAGGCTGCAGGCCCGACCCTACCGCAACTCCACGTATCCCCACCATCCTTCCTCCTTGGACTCCAGGTTGGTTGCCTGGGACTTTAAGGCGAACCCACACCCCTCCCCACCCGAAACCCGGATCGAGCCGGCCAGCAGTTCCGGACCCCAGGCGGACTGAGGCTGCAGGCCCGACCCTACCGCAACTCCACGTATCCCCACCATCCTTCCTCCTTGGACTCCAGGTTGGTTGCCTGGGACTTTAAGGCGAACCCACACCCCTCCCCACCCGAAACCCGGATCGAGCCGGCCAGCAGTTCCGGACCCCAGGCGGACTGAGGCTGCAGGCCCGACCCTACCGCAACTCCACGTATCCCCACCATCCTTCCTCCTTGGACTCCAGGTTGGTTGCCTGGGACTTTAAGGCGAACCCACACCCCTCCCCACCCGAAACCCGGATCGAGCCGGCCAGCAGTTCCGGACCCCAGGCGGACTGAGGCTGCAGGCCCGACCCTACCGCAACTCCACGTATCCCCACCATCCTTCCTCCTTGGACTCCAGGTTGGTTGCCTGGGACTTTAAGGCGAACCCACACCCCTCCCCACCCGAAACCCGGATCGAGCCGGCCAGCAGTTCCGGACCCCAGGCGGACTGAGGCTGCAGGCCCGACCCTACCGCAACTCCACGTATCCCCACCATCCTTCCTCCTTGGACTCCAGGTTGGTTGCCTGGGACTTTAAGGCGAACCCACACCCCTCCCCACCCGAAACCCGGATCGAGCCGGCCAGCAGTTCCGGACCCCAGGCGGACTGAGGCTGCAGGCCCGACCCTACCGCAACTCCACGTATCCCCACCATCCTTCCTCCTTGGACTCCAGGTTGGTTGCCTGGGACTTTAAGGCGAACCCACACCCCTCCCCACCCGAAACCCGGATCGAGCCGGCCAGCAGTTCCGGACCCCAGGCGGACTGAGGCTGCAGGCCCGACCCTACCGCAACTCCACGTATCCCCACCATCCTTCCTCCTTGGACTCCAGGTTGGTTGCCTGGGACTTTAAGGCGAACCCACACCCCTCCCCACCCGAAACCCGGATCGAGCCGGCCAGCAGTTCCGGACCCCAGGCGGACTGAGGCTGCAGGCCCGACCCTACCGCAACTCCACGTATCCCCACCATCCTTCCTCCTTGGACTCCAGGTTGGTTGCCTGGGACTTTAAGGCGAACCCACACCCCTCCCCACCCGAAACCCGGATCGAGCCGGCCAGCAGTTCCGGACCCCAGGCGGACTGAGGCTGCAGGCCCGACCCTACCGCAACTCCACGTATCCCCACCATCCTTCCTCCTTGGACTCCAGGTTGGTTGCCTGGGACTTTAAGGCGAACCCACACCCCTCCCCACCCGAAACCCGGATCGAGCCGGCCAGCAGTTCCGGACCCCAGGCGGACTGAGGCTGCAGGCCCGACCCTACCGCAACTCCACGTATCCCCAAGACCCTGGAATTTGATAGAAAATGGTCAGATACGGAGGATCTATTGCTGAGTGAAGTAAGCCAGGCTATGAAAGAAAGATATTGTATGTATCCACTCAATATATACCGACTATCCGCACTCTATAATAGAGAGCAAAAATTCGGAGGACATAAACACAGTGAAGGTACTTAATGAGAATAGGACAGTGTGGAATGGGGTAAGTGAAGAGAAGAGGATAGAGAAAGATAGCAAGTGAACAATAGAGAGACAGGACGTTAGTGAGAAACAGATAGGGGTTATTAACTGTTGATGATGACATGTATAGTATTCTCAACTGGATTGGTCTGAGAAGTATTTCATGATGGGCAAAGTATTTTTACAAGCAAAACGAGAAATAGCAATTGACTGTTTTATAAAAACAATTAGAATAATAAAAATAATGATTGGGGAAAACAGAAAAGATATGGAATGTTGAAGTGGGGAGATTAATGTCTCTGTACTGACTGACATGCATGGCATTCCCTTTTGAAAAAACAATGTAATACAATGTAAAGTTATATGTAATCCAATGTAATATAAAGAAGATTATGATGATAATAAAAATAAAAAAAAAATGAATTAAAAAAAAAGAATTTAAACGGAAAGATTGGACCACAACAGAAGATAAAGCACATGAATCTGAACTGGTAGAACAGAGTTTTTTGACTTCTGACTAAAATATTACTGATCTTTTTATTATCTGCACATATGCAGATAAAATATATTTTACTTATCTTTTATGCGTTGTTTTTCAGAGTTAAGGAGTTTTGTCTTCTCTTAAGTTGTCATCACGTCCACGTAGCTACTATCCGAACAGAATCCTAACCCGTTTCCTGGCTTTAAGTCTTAAGCAAAGTTCTCTCAACATTTTTTAATTTTGATTTATTAAAGCTGAAACTGCCTTTCTTGAAAAAAATGATAATATGTATGATGATAGCTTTAATTGGACTAATATACAGTATATTCATGTTGGGAAAATTGATTTTATAAGCTGTAATGATATACAGTGGTTGACTGTATAAAATAAATAAATAAACTAACTATAGAAAAAATTAATAAAATTATATAAAGAATTTTTTAAAAGACATGATTGGCACCTCACGAAAGAGAAATCCAAATGTCTAATAAGTATATGTAAAGTTATTCAAACTCATGAGTCTTCAGAGAAATTTAAATTAAAACTATAATGAAATATTACTCAATAGATACAGAGTCAGAATGCTTACTGCCTAGGAGTGAAAATTGCAGGTATAAATAAGATGTAATCAGTATAAACAATAAGATGTATGCATCTTTGCAATTTTTTCCAAAATCTTCTGTATCTACTAATACTGAACATGTATAGCAATTATAACCCAGAAATTTCATTTGAACTATATTGAACTATATATTCCACATACATGCATACATGGGTAGACTAAGATGTGGACAGAAATATTCACAGCAGCGGTAGTCACCAAAGTCCCTGAGGAGAAAAAAATATCCATCAGCAAAGAATGCATTCATACATTGTGGTCCTGTCGTACAATAAGACACTAATGGAAAAAAAAAGAAAAAGAAAAGAAAAGAGAAAAAAGCATGACGGTACTTGTTATTGTATACATGAGTGCTACATTCTTAAATAAATGATTAATTCACTATTCTCTTTGTCATAATTGATCAAGCTACATATTAATAACATCTACACTTCTCTGAAAGTACATTATACTTTTTTTTAAATGAAGGTATCTGAGGCATATATTTTTTCTTATTTTATGAAAGCAAATAATATGTAGTTTGGAGAGTTCTATGTAAGGTTACCGATCCTGCTGGTAAGCAGGGTTAGGCCATAAATTGACTGATGCTTTCTGAATCTGAGTGGCTTGATTCTGCCTTTATTCTCCTGCTTAGAAGCTTATTTTAATATTGGGGGTGGGGGAGCCAACCACCTCTACCTATCTTTTCTTTTCTTTTTTTTATTTAATAAAACTGAGATAGCATGTGCAGTGATTGCCACAGGTAGATATGGCTGTTGTAGACTTGAATAATCAAATTTTTCTGGGTAAATTGCCTAGGACCTAGGTAAGGAATTAATTTGTGTCTGTGAACTTACCAACACCATGCCCCTCCTCAGGAAGATTTTTTAATCTACATACAGCCAAAGTTAGAAGCTGGGGGAAAACAACTGCTTTGACCCTCCCCAGGCCAGCAGGAACTATCACATGACCAGATGATGATCAAAAGAACGATGCTGATGATGATTTCTAGAAATGTTCCCAATCAGCAATTAACTGCATAAAGCATAATTTTCAAGAGATTTATAATACTTAGGGAACAGCTTCCTCTTTGGGCTATTTCCCCATGAGCCATGTAAAACAACAAGGAAAAGGCCTGTTTATTGGTCCTCAGAAGGACAATCCAGTAGATAAAAGACCAAGAATTGCAAGCGTTCTCAGATTCTGGGACACTCACCTGTGAACAGGAACCCACCCTCCACACCTAACACCATGACCAGCTGCTGCTGTTCCCCTTGCTGCCAGCCTACGTGCTGCAGAACCACCTGCTGCCAGCCCTGCTGTGGTGGATCCTGCTGCTTCCCAACATGCTGTCAAACCACCTGCTGTAGGACCACCTGCTGCCGGCCCAGCTGCTGTGGATCCTGCTGCTGCCAACCCTCCTGCTGTGGGTCCAGTGGCTGTGGGTCAAACTGCTGTGGGTCCAGCTGCTGTCAACCCTCCTGCTGTGGGTCTTGTGGCTGTGGGTCAAACTGCTGTGGGTCCAGCTGCTGCCAGCCCTGCTGCTCTGGACCCGTGTACTGCCGCAGAACCTGCTACCTCCCCACCTGTGTCTGTCTGCCTGGTTGCCTAGCCCAGGGCTGCGGATCCAGCTGTGGCCAGCCCTGCTGCTGCTGATCCCCTTACTACCACCTACCATGTTCTAACTTTCCATCAACCAACCAAGGTCCTACAACAAAATCACTCTCCAGCTTTGCCATCATCCTACTGTCTGTTGTTTGCCTTTTTGTAGAGAATGGACAAATAAACAAAAACTTGAATCTTTTTCTTTAACTCTCCTTGATAGTAAATGATAAATATTTTCTCAATGCATTCCTTAAATTTGTGCCCATTTGTTTTCTTTCTATGCTCATCTTATTATCTCCTTAGTTCCAAGGAGTTTCCCTTGTTTATTTCCTAATAAATTGATGCTACCTTGCAATTTTTTTCTGTATTTTGCTTTTGGTTTTGTTTCTTCAGTATTTTCTTCATAAGAGCTTACACTAACACTACTATTCATACCCATCACCCACCATCCCATTCTAGACTAATAGTAACCTCCCAAGATGATTGGAGCAATGAGTAACTCCAGAAACCCATAGATATAAAAGTGTTATATGCTGTACATCATCTGCCCCATGTCTAGGTCTCCTCACTTTATTTATATCAGGGGTACTTTAATTTCTATTTTAGTGCAAGTGGAAATAGTTGGGCACTGGGAAGATGTATATGTTACCTGGATCTGGCCTCTCTAGCAGGGGAAATAATAACACTTTCATATGTAGGGTACTTTTCTGTGCACAAGATAAGGATGTGAAAAACAAATGAGAAGGTGTACACAACCAGAAACCACAGTAGGTATAAGAGTGATAGTAGAAGAAGAGGGTACAAACATTCCGATAACTGAACAAAAAAATGCACACACAAGCACTTGGATGTTTGCAGGCTGTTGCTGCCCTAAGAGAAAAATAACATTTTAGGAACATGGTGTATCCTTGATCAAGTTAACAAAAGTGAGTAGAGGTATAGTCTTTGGTTTTCTGAAGAGCCTGCCAAGTATTCCAACAGTCTAACCACTAGTACCCCTGATGCTTCACTGAAGAGGAGTCCTTAAAATATTTATTAGTATTTACTGAGCACCTAGTAGATATTGAGTTCTATGCTTTACATGCAGTGTCAAACAAAGAAAAAACTTCCTCCAAAGAAAGTCTTCCTGTACTCAGAGTAGAGTGCCTGCGCTTAGGGAAGAAACATAACACGCATCAACTTACACAACTGCACAGCTTGTAAACAATTTGATTCACTTATAAAAACCAGCCTGGTTCTACTGAATGGTCTTATATATGATACATTAGAAGAGACCAAAGTGGCTACTCTGTGGTTAACAAAGTCTTGCACGTACAACCATATATTTCACATTTACCTCATTTTATGACATTGGGAGACACAAGAGTTGCAGAGAGAACCAAGAGATTTACCATCTGTAGATTCAAAAGATCCCTTTCCTTTAACAAGGTGTTATTCACCTATTATGTGGCCATCTCTGTGTTCATGAAAGGGACTGAGAGGTAACCAAATTCCAAGGTTCTAGCCCTTGTTAGATTTGTTGAAGAATGCATAAAAACAAACTTTATTCTTTTAGAAGTAAAGACGGTAAATCAGATTTGTGCTCTGGTATGACGCTGAAGACAAACAAACAAACAGAGAAAAAATATTACTGATTAACTCAATGATAACTTACTAGGCAAAACACTAGTATACAATAGAGAGGAAAGTAAAAAATGTATGAAAGAAGCAAACTAGTAAGGAGGCTTGAAGATTTTAAATAATTGTCCAAGGAACTCCTACAACTGAGTGGCAGAATAAGAATATTCAACAATTAGATTCTGATTTCAAGGTTTTAGAGATATACACTACCATCTGTTATGTCTACAATAGAGAACAAATAAGTGGAAATTAAAGCAGGGTTGAGTAATGGGCTGTGGCTGGTGGAACTTACTGCAAAAATTGGATGATACTATCCCAAAGATGCTCACAAAATCTTATAAATAGAAATGACAGGAGATAGAAATTAGATAGTATGAAGATTTTGTTCTGCTAAAATAATATGTAGACAGATCTTAAACATTTAGGAAACTATTCTGAACTGGATTCTAACAAGAAAGAAGAATTGGTCGATAAAGTCAGTGAAAAAGAACTTGTGAAAATGTGACCAAGTTGAAGGTCATGACAGCCAGATTATGCTTGGAGTAGACATATATCCTACATAAGGGGAGGCAGATATGTAAACTTAGAAGAAGATGAATGTGATTTCTTGTGAATAGACACTGGGAAGAAAGATGGCTAATGAGGGTGGAAATGTTACAAAAATGCCATTCTGACAGTATAATCACAAGTGAGTCCCATGAGGGAAAAATGTAGATGGCCTAGAGAGATGAAAAGAAATAATCTTTAGTGTATCTAAATATAACAGAATAGGCTACTCTGAGATTATAAATTCAAACACTCAAGAAAGCTGGACAACCACTTGACAAAGTTTGTATCAAGGACCTACCACTTGGGTGAGGTATTATTATGACTGGATTTGTAAAGTTCCTTCTGCTGGGAGACAATTCACCATAGGTGCCTCACATTTCTGTGCTTCTTTTGGCCAGAGTTGGTACTATGAAAAAATAAAATAAAATTAGTGTACCATGGCAACACTAGCAAAGAAAAAATATAAAGTAGGATCTGTAACCGATAGTACAGATAATAATGGAACATAACCATAGATTCTAAAATATTAACAGCATAAGAAAATGATATTATGAAAACTTTATGCCAGAATTTTTAATTTACATAAAATGGGTCATTTCTTTGGGAAAAATTTATTGAAATTGACATGAGAAATACAAAATCTAAAGGTGTTTGTATAAGCACAATAAATTTACTCAATAATTATAAATGCTAGTCCTCTCCTTTCACTGTTGATACCCCCTCCCCCCAACACACACAAACCATACTGGCTGTAATGACTTCCACCACTGTATTTCACCAAACACAAAAATTTAAGGAAGAAATAATAAAATCTTAGGACCAGCAGTTAGCGCAATGGCTATGTTGCTGGACTCCCATGTAGTCTACCGCGGATCAAGTCCCGGACCTGGTGGCTTAAATTCACGCTGGGCACATATGCATGCGTGCCCAAGATCCCAAGAGGAGAATGGAGGAGAAGGGATTGTGGTGCGGCCATCCCCCCTGGGGGGTGATTTCTCGCTTTCTGTCTCTCTGCCTCTGTCTTTCTGGCGAGTGCTTGTGTCCTATAGCAAAAACCTCTCAATAAATAAATAAATAAATAAATAAATAAATAAAAATAAAACTTTAAACTCTTCTAGACACTAGAAAAACTAGGAAAATATGTCCAATTGTATTCATGTTGGGTAAATTCAACTTACAAATAAAGTAAATTATAGTGAATAAATGTATAAAATTTTTTTTAATGAAAAATAAAAGAACCTGATCTCCACACATCCCCACCGTTCCTCCTCCTTGGACCCCAGGTTGGTTGTCTGGGACATTAAGGCGGACTCCCACCCCACCCCACCCGCAATCCGCATCAAGCTGGCCAGTAGTTCCGGTGGACTGAGGCTGCAGACCCGACCAACCTGGGCCTGTCACTCATCCTCTGTCCCTTTCCCACTAGCCTTTGGCCTCTGAATATTGGGGATTTGAATAGTGGGTGGCGT